CTGTTGACACGTCAATGGAAGGAATATACCCTCAGGCTGATCAGCTGCAAGAACTTGCTGAGGCGGCAACAGAGGAGTTGCTGTGCAGAGACTGATTCAATGGAGGAGAACTTGCTTTTTAGCAGGGATCTGGTGCCAAATGAGTCTCTCTTGAGTGTGTCATTCATGAAGGTGCTTGGGTGGTGCACTTCAGCCTGAAGCTGTCCACCAGGTGTGCTAGCTCTAAGGTTATCCAGATACTGCAGGCCAAAGTCACCTGTGTCCCGCCCAGGGCAACCCAGTTTAGCTATAGAGCACTCTGCAGATGGCTCCTACTTGTGCTGTGTTTGGATGTGGCCAGGAGAGGCCAAGCTGTGAATGAAGGCTGGCTGCCACTGGTGTCGGGCTTGGGGTTACTTAGCAAGAAGCATCTGGAGGCTGAATGCTGCTAGTTTGGGGTTCATGAACCTTTGAGAGATTTCAGGAAAGTCTACATTATGAGCCAAGACAGGCTATTTGTATGGAAAAGCCACTAGAAATAGCTTGAGTGAGCCCTAAAGTTGGGTGGGGGAAGATATCATGGAATCACCTGTGCACAGGGAAAAGGGTGTTAGGCCAATGCAGACTCAGATATGGTGCCAACCAGCATGCTCTGTTGGGGGAATGCTCACCTAAGAAACAATGGCCTCTGACAATACTTCTGGAGGAGAAAGCTGCCTTTCCAGTCTTCAACCTGAAGCCAGACAATTCAGTTCCTCCTCCTACATCCCTGCTGTATTTTGGGCTGAGGGCAGTCTTCAACTTGAAGCCAGACAATTCAGTTCCTCCTCCTACCTCCCTGCTGCTTTTTTCAATGGCTGAAGCTCAGAGTGAGCCCGAGTACATCAGTGCATGGGTCATTTAAGAGGCATGCCTGAGACTACAGGAGTGCTCCATCTCACTTAGCCACAATTCCTGCTGGTGTATGCAACCAGAAGTTATGGGGACTTCTCTTCCTGGAACTGAAACCCTGGGGCTGGGGCCAACAGCCAAGACATCCCTCCTCGTTTTCAATCACCAACTGTGAATGTGGGACCAGCCCATTTTGCTTTGCTGCCACTCCTATCAGTCTCAACATGGCTTCTGTATATTCTCAGTTATAGGGCTCCTGATCAGCTAGATTTCAGGTGGTCATGAGTGATGGTTGTTCTGTAGTTCAGTTGCAATCGTGATGTGGTTGTCAGAGGATGCAAATACCACATTTACCATCTTGACCAAATTAAATCAGATTTAATGCATAAAAGTAATTTCACCCAAGTTGCACTGACATGTATCACAATTTGATGATGGAAATATGCCCAGAGCTGCCTAGGAATCGAGAATATTTTTGAATGGATGCCTATGAATTTCTTATCATAATAAATATGTTGTGATAACCATATTCTCTCAGTAACCTGCTTACACAATTCTGTCACATTGGCTTCCCTCTGTTTACCCTTAATTGAGCCTCACTGAGCCAGTTTCAACAAGCCAGTTTGTCTTCTATGCTGGGAGCCTTAGATGTTAAAGACATTGTTGAATCTGGCTGCTGAGCCAAAAGGAGGAAAACAAGAACACAGTTAATGATGAGAAGCCATAGCTAATATGATTTAAAATTACATCAACACTGCAGAGAGACTAGCTCCTCATGATGACATTTCCTTTTTTCTTAAGCTTCCATGTTCGACAGCAAATGATATAGTACTGTTTCAATGAGTACTGAAATCAATCAAACATTATACCACAGTTATCCTGATTTAGAGGGGCTCAGAATACACAGGTCATTGTGAAAGAATGTCTATATCTACCAAGAATAATGTTATAGCAATTTCAAAAATCCCTGCTCATTTCATAAAACTTAAAAATTACTAAGATTTAAACTTAGTAATTACTTAACTTAAAAATTACACAAAGGAAATAAGGAATTGCCCAGAAAAAAAAAATACTGCATATAGTGAGGCATTGGGATAATTTGTTTAAAAGACTAGAGGTCTTATTATAACGTCTACATTTTCTCCCTGTAAGCAACAACAACAAAATAGAGTTCTGAGATCAGATGTCTGAAAAGCTACACTCATTTTAACCACCTCAGTAGTTACGTAAATTCTCTAAGATTTACAGTTTTCAACACTTTACTTAAAACTGCATGGCATCAGCGAGGCGGTGTTTTCTCTGTGAAAAGGGTGAGCCACTGCCAACGTTAATTTTCCTCTCCACGCCTTTACACCGTATTTCAGCTGCTATGCCATTGATTCTTTTCCTCACCAATACTCAGTTCCTTCTGCAAATAAACTTGGCCCTTCAAATGTGCTGCCAGTTGCAGACCTCTGGCCCAGGGCTCAGGTTAGCTTGGGAGCACCTCTCCCCTCCTTCTCCCCCAGGAAAGGATTTATGATCCCTTTTGCTGAGATATTTTTAAACTTGAGAAGTTTAAGTATAAGTGAGTCCTCACACCCAGTCCATTCTGCTACTCCTTAATTTTGTTTATAAGCTTGATCCCAGCACTGATGGCTCTTGGGTAGATTCCATACAGGGCTTTCCCTAAGTATAAGTAAGTGAGAAGATGCTAGTTGGTTCTCCTGCTTTCTGCTGTGAACTTTCCTCAGATTTGCCCCTGAGGTGGCCCAGGAAAAATCCTCAACCTTAAAGCTTCTGATAACCTGTGTCTCCTGAGAAGGTGCAATGAAACTCAGCAGACTTAAGACCAGTTACTAGAGTCAGGTTCAGTTGGAACCTCATTACAGATATAGTTATGCAGCAAGTGTAATCTGAGGTAGCAGAAGGATCATACGCTTTGGGGCTATTGTTCAAAGGTACCAAATGCATGACTTTGGGAAAGTTATATCATTTCCCTGATTCTCAATTTCCTTTTCTGTACATCAGGAGATTTATTAAGAGAATCAAGTGAGCCGAAACTGGTTTGGCTCAGTGGATAGAGCATCTGCCTGTGGACTGAGGGGTCCCAAGTTTGATTCCGGTCAAGGGCATATACGTTGGTTGCGGGCACATCCCCAGTGGGGGGTGTGCAGGAGGCAGCTGGTCGATGTTTCTCTCACATTGATATTTCTAGCTCTCTATCCATCTCTGATCCTCTCTGTAAATAAAATATATTTAAGAGAGAGAGAAAGAGAGAGAGAGAGAGAGAGAGAGAGAGAGAGAGAGAGAGAGGGAATCAAGTGAAATAATTTGCATAAAGGGCTTAATGTTGAACCTGGAAAAGGTTAGGTACAATAAATATTAAACCATAGCATATTTATTTTGAGGTCTGTGTACACAAGGCCAAAAAATAATGTCAATAAAGATGTTTGTGTATTATCTAACCTTTCATGCTTAGGTAAGTGCTTTTGTTTGCAAGAAACTTTAGGCTGGTGGATAAATTATTTCACAAACCAGAGAATAAAAAGAACTTAAAAAATAGGCCTCTCTCCCAGCTTCTATTCATATATGCTTATGTTAATTACTAGGAGTAGCATGTGATGGAAAACATGACTAGGAAAAATGTTTAATTTCATCACAATCTTAGTTATAATGTGATACTTGTTTGAAATATCATTTTATTTCAATCCAATAATGATTTATTGAAAAAGCTACATTCTTATATGATATGACCAGAGTGAATTATACTTTTATACACTAATTCAAATATAGAATATAGTCATTGAAGCAATCAAATTCTCCATTTTCTAGTAGAAATATAAATTAAATAGTTTAAAAATTATTGATACATAAATATTCTAACAAAATATATTTTAAAAACTTAAATCAATAGAACAATTGCTATGTATAGAATTGTTTCCCAAAGCTATGAGTATTCTTATTGAGAAAAATTACCTCAAAGATACCTTAAAAGATAATTAATTTTTCAGTTATCTTATTCACATTTCTGAACAAATTATATTCATCTCCGAAGTGTTGATGGTTTGTATAGGAATACATAGATCAGTAGGTATGTAGATAGATAGGTAGGTGGGTAGGTAGGTAGAGAGATAGAGAGATAAATTTCAAAATCCAGAAAAAATTTTCCAGCAGATTATTTAGAGTAGCACAAAACTTTCTCGACACAAAGGTGGTCATCTATGTCAAGATAAATTTTTAAATGTATTTTTCTTGGTGTGATGGAATTATAGATTCTTAAAACAATGCAATTTGTGTGGCATCTCTTTGGGAGACACTAGGGCACTGCTAACTCTGCAGAGCATGGCACCAATATGAACACAAGTGCACCCAGATGGCACTTCACATCCCAAAGCAAATCTGTGCACAACTTTCCCTTGAAGACTAAATAAGTTTTCAATTTGCCAGAGCCTGTTATGAGTATAACTGAGATTTCAAAATGAGGCTCTGGTGCCCTGGTCGGGTTGCTCATTGGTTGGAACATCATCCCATACACACACACACACACACACACACACACACACACACACACACATACACACAACGTTGTGGGTTCCCACATACCCAGTTTGCATGTTTGATCTCCAGTCAGGGCACCCACAATAGGCAACAAATAGATTTCTCTCTCTCTCTCTCTCTCTCTCTCTCTCTCTCTATCTCTATCTCTATCTCTATCTCTATCTCTATCTCTATCTCTATCTCTATCTCTATCTCTTTTTATCTCTACCCCCTCAGGGAAACTATAGGAGGCAACTAATAGATCTCTCTCTCTCTCATCCCCCTCCTCTCTCTCTAAAAAACCAATGAATATATCCTTGGATGAGGATTAAAAAAATGAGGCTCTAGTGATCAAAGTCACATTTGATAGCAGCTCAGGAACGTCTAAGATGGCACAAAGCCTGGCATTTGTAGGCACGGTGCTCTCTTCACACTGATACAGGGTAGGAGACTAAGGAAATAATACTTCGCTGCCAAATTTTTACATTTTGTTATTTTTCATTGAAACAATTCAGCATGAAGATATGTCAAAAAATTTAGTCATATGTCACTAGCTGAATTAGACCTAATCGTTATTTTTCCCATAATAAATGTAGAAATGACATCCTTACCCCTAAATATAATAAGATTCCATAGAACATAAATCTCCAAAAAAAGCATCGCCGGAGGGCATTAATGAGTTTGGGATTTTTCTTTGATGCCAGCTCTCTGTCCCATTCTCTGCAAAGGAACAAAATTAAGACCAATAAGGTGATTGTACAATATTTGAAGTTTTATTTTCCTTAACATAGTTTTACTCACAAGTACATCCAAGAAGATTAACCAAGTGATTAAAGAGATGAAAATTTTGAAGACCTTCGAACACCAACACTCAGTCAGATATTTGGCAGAATTCAATGCTATACCATATATCAATTTTCAGAGAGTTGACCTCATAAAAAGGCAACATTATATTTGTTAAAGAAAGGTTCTGGGCTTCTTAAAAGCAATACAAAATGTAGACAATAAAATATGACTTGTGAATAGATAATGCTATGCTTGGAACAAGGAAAAAGATAAACAAGTATTTGGGGTTTTTTTCTCCTTCACCTCTTGATTTTTACCTGTTTAGAATTGTAGTAGATTTTATATAATTTAACCATCAAATAAAAAACAAGATAAGAAAGTCAAATGTGCCGAAACCAATTTGGCTCAGTGGATAGAGTGTCGGCCTGCGGAATGAAGGGTCCCAGGTTCAATTCCGGTCAAGGGCATGTGCATTGGTTGCGGGCACATCCCAGGTGGGGGTTGTGCAGGAGGCAGCTGATGGATATTTCTCTCTCATCATTGTTTCTCTCTCTATCCCTCTCCCTTCTTCTCTGTAAAAAAATCAATAAAATATGTTTTTAAATAAAAAGAAAAGAAAAATAAGGTTGAATATATTACTTTGCCTTAAAATGTAAAAAAAAATTTTTTAAAAAATGAAATGACTTTAATGAAAATAATCAAATTGCAAGTCTACCCAACTTTATTTTGGTACAATAAGTTAGTAGCAAATTTTCAATTTTATGATTTTTATTTTACTATATTGCCAACTCCCTCTCCCTTTCATTTGGTATCAGATTCTCTGCTGCTGGCACAAAACCCCATCTAGCTCATCCATAGACTGTGGTTGGTCCAAGGAGTGAGCATGTGACTCAAGAGTCTCTGGAATTTTTCACATTTGGCCAAGGAGAAAGGGCTCTGTTCTCTGTGGTTTATAAAGATATTAGCTAAGAGTTCTGAGGAACCACTGCATGGAGGAAGCTCCTCTGAGAACATAAAACGAACACGAGGCATATACCATCAGTTGGTATTTAAGTCCCTATTTCACTCAGTGCCTGGGCCTTCAGACAGTTAGATTACAGGAGCCAATAAAATCTTTCTTTGTATTTACTTATGCTACTTAGTTGGGTTTCTTTCATTGGCAACCAAAGGGTTCTAACCAGTACTCTTAGGAAAAGGGACTTCTTGCAATGGGAGACACTGTTCCTGGGGAGGCTGGGAGTGCAGACATTGGTTTTACAATCCTGGCTCCATCAATCATTAACTGGCAAATTACATCAACTCTCTGAGCCTCAGTTTGCTCTTCTGTACAATGGAGATAATAATGCTCTCCTCCCACAGTGGCTGAGAAGAGACAGTTTGGCTGATGGCAAGTACGTATTCAAAATCATGAAAATTTTATGTTTCTTTGCTATCCAATAGCCATTACCTTAAAATTTAAATTATGCTCAGAATTTAAGATTTTGGAGGCAAATATACATGCTATCCTTCATATAGATATTATTTCAGTCTTTAAAAATATCCATCCAATGTTCTTTAAAGATAGGTAACTTCTCATACTTCTAATATGTGGAATATGTATTTTTCAGAAAAAAATTAATTTCTCAGGAAAATGTTTTCTTCCATCATTTCACTGTTTAATTCCTAATTGATCCCAACTTCAGAAAGAAAAGAAGATGCTCCTATTTTAAATATGCTATTTTACAAATTTAGCCCTCTAATATGTCTCTAAGTAATTAATATTAATTACTTTCTCCAACTAATAAGCAATGTACATGAACATACCTTTCTAATATTTCAGAGAGGTTGTCGGCAGAATCAGCTGAAGGGATTTGATATATGTCTGACAACTCCAGGCGCTGTTTGTACCCTTTCCACAGAATCGGCCCAGTCCAACTAAAATAAAGAAAAAGACAGATAGAAATATTTACTTGATTTGGTCTCTAATATAGACTTGGAATCTGATATCAGTTCAAATCTTCTGGCATGTGGAGAAGGGTGGACGCATACTGTACATATGACTAACATAAGTCAACATATACATAAATACAACATATACATAAATATCTTATAGGACACATCTGTATACAACACCCAGTACCTATGAAATAATGTGACTGCTGTTATGTCAGAAAGGATCAAGAATGATGGTAGAATCCTTCCTAGAGGGGAAAGAAAACCTGTTAAACATTTTGTATTAGAAGTATTCTTAAAACACACACACACACACACACACACACACACACACACACACACACACACACAAATGGCCCCAAAATAACCAGAGATTTGGAGTTCATAGCTTGCTATAACTGCTAAAGTCCAGTCTCTACCACTTCAAATATTAAATTATCTGTGAATGATAAAAAAGTAAATTCTCAATCAACACCCTTTAAACCTTACACGTGTTACCACAGCATACGAAACTCAGCAATTAGCTATTTGTTTAGCCAACTGTCTGTTTATAGCTGGAGGATTAATGAGTAGTCTATGTCAAATTGTTTAATTATCATGTCTGAATTTATTACTTGAGGGTGGGGATCATAACTTTCTTATACTTTGTCTCCTCACCCTGCACCATAAGTAACAATTTACGACAGAAACTAGTGAAGCTGTATGGTAAGTAATTAGGCAGGATACCCCAGTCATTTTCAAGTACATTGTCTCTGAGTATTATGGATAAGGCAGAATAATCTTCACAGAGATACGAAAATATAAAAAGAAGGAGGGAAAGGAGGGAGAGGGAGGAAGAGAATTATAAAACAAAGAAATCATGTACAAAGGGAAATTCTTAAATGAAATTTGAGCATTGAGACTTTTCTTGAATAAAATTTCATTTACTGAAGGAAATGTGATCCCCAAACATGCTCTTTCCCTTAGCATCTTTTTCCCCCTTCAGAGATGTCTAAAACTTAGTGTCACTGAGACTTTAGTAATGTATCAAAATACATATTAGCCCCCAAAATCAAGCAAGTCCAGTTTTTTGCTCACAATTCCTTGCTCTCCAGCTTCTTATTTTATTTTTTAAAAAATTTTAAATATATATTTTATTGAGTTTTTAAAGAGAGGAAGGGAAAGGGATAGAGAGCTAGAAACATCTATCAGCTGCCTCCTGCACATCCCCTACCGGGTATGTGCCCGCAACCAAGGTACATGCCCTTGACCGGAATCGAGCAGGCTTACACTTTATCCTCTGAGCCAAGCTGGTTAGGGCAGGCCTCCAGCTTCTTTAGTTTGCCTGCCTAAGTTCCTGATGTCTCTGCAACTTATCCTTCCTTTAAAGGTAACTGAATTAGGGCCCAGTGTGAAGGCTAAGTAATTTAATTTAATTCTTATCTCTGTGATATTTCTTGTTAAAATATCAATGAGTGATAATGGTTTATTATGCTACTTTTTTCCACTAACTTGTAATATTTGCATTCTTAACAAGAGCCTTAGCAAAAAGGATGATAATTAGTTTTTTGTCTTTATTGCCTAGTCTGATAATTGCTAATTATTCCTGGAGAACAACAATAAAAATAACTGGGAACCATCTGAATATTGCAATTAAAGTAATCCTGAGTAGGTTACACATACTGGGATAGAATTTAGGAATGTCCATTCAGGATTTCTACCTCAGTATTTCTTCCATTAGAAATGAATGCATGCTTTGATTGGGTAGCTCAGTTTATTAGAGTGCCATCCTGATATGCCAAGGTTGTGGGGTTCGATCCCGTCAGGACACATACATGAAACAACCAATAAATGCATAAATAAATGGAACAGCAAACTGATGTCTCTCTCTCTCTCTCTCTCTCTCTCTCTCTCTCTCTCTCTCTCTATCTCTATCTCTATCTCTATTTCTATCTCTTTCTCTCCCCCTTCCCTCCCTCTCTCCTCCTTCCTTCTTCCCTCTCTCTTCTCTCTAAAAGTCAATTCTAAATTAAATTTTAAAAAATTTAGAAGTCCAGGCGTTTCATGAAGCAAAGTAAGTACACTGGAATAACCAAAAGCAATAAATCGTATTCCTCCTTCTCTTCCTCAAATTTGTCCCACCATCTCTTGCTCTCATTTCAAATTGATCTTGTCAGCCTCCTTCATTCATGTACAGTCATTACATATTGATAATAAATGTATATACTAATCGACTTAGAAACTGTCAGTTTCTAAAGTTCTGGTTATTTTTAACAGAAACTAGCTAATCATTAATTATGAGGCAGTAGTCAGAGATCAATAAGATATACAGTGTTTTATAGTTTATCAGTTTCAAACTGACTTAAAAAAAAAAGTCTAGTGTTCCAGGTACACTATTCTGTTTACTTAACTGAGAGGCTTCAGGTTTTGTTGAGGAAAAATGTTATCACTTCACACACACACACACACACACACACACACACACACACACACACACATAACTATATTTAATTAGTTTCATTTCTTAGGACAAAACTTCCAATTTTTGTATAGAGCGATTTGTAATTCCTTATAATAAAAAGAAATTTCTACTTATAGCCATTATTAAAGCCTTCATTTTCACAGAATCTATCCCCTTAAAACTACATAAGTAAAGCTTATAATCATTTTTCCATTTGACACTTAGTTTTCATTAATCCAACAGAGACATCTGACATTTTCATCTGTAGAATTTAAGATGAAGATCAGGTATCAGATACATTTAGTTCAAAATAATTTTGTTTGTATAAAACAATCAGATTTCTACAGTATTTAACATTCCTTGTTACTTAACTAGCCAAAAAATAAAATAGCAAATTCAAACCACTGATTGCATGAGACTTACAAATACTAACAAATTCATACACTCCAAGATAACAGTCTTTTTTCCTTTTTGCAAAAAATAATAAATACTTGAGGACGTATCAAGAAATTACCCTAAACTAATTTGTGTAGACAAATTTAAAACACCAGAGGTTTTCTAATCACCCAAGATATTAACCATAAGATTTAAGTAGCCCCCAAAATCTGGATAATCTTAACTAAAGCAACTTTTGAAGTTGAGGCAGAGAAAAGGAGACACATTAGAACAAAATCTGGTAATAAATCTAACCCCTGCAGCATAGCTCCTCCACTGTGCTTTAGTTACTTAGGTAAGTGACTATGGTGGGGGAAATTAACTTGACCAGAAGTCATCTCATTTCCATAAAGATTTTTAAAAACCTCACAAATAACACTTCAAATTCACAGTTGTTTTATCAGATTCAATGTTACCTTATAGTCAGATGTATTTCTTTCAATGAATTTTAGTGAAAATAAAACCTTGTAGACTTCAAGAAAGCACCTGGAAGTCACATCATTGGAGTCAGGGTCTGGTGAGTTCCTGTTCTCTGTTTCCACAAGGTACTTATTTACTCAGTGTTTGCTGATTATCCATGAAATGGTGAATTTATAAGCAATAACCACTTCAGTGTGCTCGATCACCTTTAGGAAGTACATGCTTGCTAAAGATCAGCCTTTTTTGTTTGTTTGTTTGTTTGTTTGTTTGAGAGTCAATTACTTATGAGACTCTAATGTACCAAGAGAAACATAGTTCATTTTTTCTCTCTGGATGAGTAAACAGTAAAGTAAATGTAGTCAATAAATTGCAAAAGAATTGGAAAAAATTATTTGTTCCTCAGCAAAAGAGAACAAAACAATTCTGAAAAATCCTCTGGAGGCCCAGAGCTTAAAACCATACAGGCATCCTAATGTAAATCAATTTAACTTCATGTTTAGTGAGTCCAAACATTAAATAGAAAAATCTATCTGCCTACTTGATGAAATGCTTCTAACTATAAATGTATTAAGAATGTAAACATATCGCCGAAACCGGTTTGGCTCAGTGGCAGAGCATCGGTCTGGGACTCAAGGTTCCCAGGTTCGATTCCGGTCAAGGGCATGTACATTGGTTGCGGACACATCCCCGGTGGAGGGTGTTCAGGGGGCGGCTGGTCGATGTTTCTCTCTCATCGACGTTTCTAGCTCTCTATCCTTCTCCCTTCCTCTCTGTAAAATATCAATAAAATATATATTTTTAAAAAAGAATGTAAATATATTAAGCAAATATCCAGAAAGATATTTCCTTTTATGCTTATCTGCGTTTTCTAATATTTAACAATGAACATGTATAACTTTGGAACAACGGGGAAGTTCTTATTTAAAGAAAAAGTACAATTATTAGACTTAATAAATGAATTCAGCAATGTAGCAGGATACAAAATTAATGCCAAGAAAATCTATGGCATTTTTACACACCAATAATAAATTTACAGGAAGAGAAACTTAAAAAGCAATCCCATTGACCATCGCACCAAAAAAATTAATATATCTAGAAATAAACTTAACTAAGGAAGTAAAAGATCAATACCTGGAAAACTACAGTACACTGAAAAAAAGAGATAGAGGAAGATGTAAACATATAGAAGAATACACCATGTTCATGGATTGGTAGAATCAACATAATTAAAATGTCCATACTACACAAAGCAATCTACAGATTCAATGCACTCCCCATTAAAATACCAACAGCATATTTCACAGACCTAGAATGAACTTTCAAAAAATTCACCTGGAATTAAAAAAACAAACAAACAAACAAACAAACAACAAAAAAAAAACGACCCCAAATAGCCACAGCAACCCTGAGAAAGAAGAGCAAAGTACGTGGGATCTCAATACCAGATTTCAAGCTGTATTACAAAGCTACTGTTCTCAAATCAGCCTGGTACTGGCCCAAGAACAGGCATATAGACCAATGGAATAGAATAGAGAACCCAGAAATCAACCCAAACCACTATGCCCAATTAATATTTAACAAAGGAAGCATGAACATACAATGGAATCAAGGCAGTCTCTTCAATAAATAGAGTTGGGAAAATTGGACAGATACATGCAAAAAAATGAAACTAGACCACCAACTTATA